TACACTAGCGTTCGGGAAAAGGCAATTTTCCCTGTCGCGACACCTAGCTCCGCCTCCCAGCTCCCGTATTGAAGGCGGAGGGTGTCCTGCGCCTCGTTCATCACGGTGGTGGCAATGAGGGCAGCCCCCCGCTCCTCCTCCACTTCCTTGGCGATTTCCGCCAACACCTTCTTTCGGGCTTCAAGCTCCGAAACGTGCCGGCGGTGTGCCTTGCGGCCCACCTCCACCATGGCCTCCACTGAGCGCCGCCCCTCCTCGACACGCGCCCACGCGGCGTCGAGCTCCGCCCGCTCTGCTTGCAGGGCCTCCACCTGGGCATTAAACCCGTCCAACACCGCGGTGTTTGCGGCGGCCAAGGCCAGCAGAAGGGGCTCTGCGCTCAGCGGGGCGATAGAAGGCGCGGGGAAGAGCCGCCTTGGAGAGGATGCCGCGCGGCTCGGGCCGCCGATGGAAGTGCCGGACTCGGGGATGTCCCCTGGACCTAGTTGGTCCTGGGTGTCGCCCGAGGGAGTGGGCCCAGGCGACGCGCCTGCAGCCTCGTCGCCAGCTGCCCCGGAAGTTGTCGCCTGAGCGTCGCCTGAGGGAGTGGGCCCAAGCGATGCGCCCGCGACCTCGTCGCGAGCTGCCTCGGAAGTCGCCATTGCCTCGTCCTGGCGAAATCCGGCTTTCTCCCGAGCGGCTTCCTCGGCCTGGTGGGCTCGGGCGGCCTCCTCCCGAGCGGCTTCCTCGGCCTGGCGGGCCCGGGCGGCCTCCTCCCGAGCGGTTTCCTCGGCCTGGCGGGCCCGGGCGGCCTCCTCCCGAGCGGTTTCCTCGGCCTGACGAGCCCGGGCGGCCTCCTGGGCGGCCTCCTCGGCTTCCCGTAGGCGATCCGCGGCCACTCGCCGGTCAGATTCCCGCCTCCGGGCCTCTGCGGCCGCCGGATCCTCGGCCTCAGATTGGCCAGACTTGGAATGACGGGAGGGACGCGACGGGATCTCGCTAAAACAGAAGAAAAGACCAGAAGACGAACAAAGATGGGTGAGTGAAAACTCGCGTTGAAGAGAATGAATACAGCCACGATGGGTGAGAGACGAACCTGCGAGGGGGTCGGTTGAAAGACCACTTTGGAGGGGAGATGAGGTTTCCCCGAGATGGTTCTGTCTCCCCCATCTTGCGGAGCCGTTTCTTCTTGTGCTCCCCCTCGGGCTGCGATGTCGGCGCGGCCCCCTCCGGGCGCCTGCTGCTGGCACGTACCGCCCCGCCCCCTCGGGGAGGAGATTGGGGAGGTGTTCCTCCCTGTTTCCTCTTCCCCCGGGCGTCGGCAGGGCGGCTGCTCCCCGGGTCTCCGTCGCGAGACCCAGAAGCACGACCCCCTCCCGGGGTAGATTGATCCCCCTTGCGGCTCCCGCCTGCGCCGTCGTGGCCCTTTGGAGCTCCCTCCTCTGAGGCCCCGACCGCCGTCATAATGGTCAAGATGGAGGCGCGGTCTGGATCGCTGCAGAGGGGGAGGATTCCGTGGGGAATGAGGGACGCCTCCACGGAGTTGAGATTCAGCACCCGTTGGACCACTATCTTGAAGTCCTCAGGAGCCCAGTCCCATCTGACTCCCTGGTGGATCCTCATGTAGTCTTCGGACCCGGTGTACTCCCAGGCGCCCCGAGCGCGCCGCTGGAGCGGCGCAATCCGACGACGGAGGTAGTCACCGTACACCATGGCCCCTGTGAGCCCCTGGGATCGCAGGCCCGCCAGGCGGTCGAGGACGGCGTCATAGCCATCCCCCAGATCTACCGGCGCCCGCCAGCTGGAGGCCTGCGCCGGGGGCTGGCTCGGAAGTCGGAGGCGCGCTTCGTCGGCGAGGGGGGTGTAGAACCAGTCGCTCTTCCAGTCATCCCACTTCTTGCGGAGGACGCAGGGGATGTAGCGGTTCAACACCGGCCCCCGCGGCAGGAAGTAGCAGCCACCGACCACCGACGGCGGCGACACCGACTGCACGGTGAAGAACCACCGGAACAGCCGAAGAGATGGGCGCACCCCAATGAACATCTCGCACAGGTGCGCGAAGATGGCTAATGTCATCACTGCGTTGGGGGTAAGGTGCGCCATCTGGAGATCGTAGAACTCCAGGACATCCATGAAGAAAGAAGAAAATGGCGGAACCAGCCCTGCCATTGCAAAGGGGAGAAAGAAGACGGACCGCCCCGGGTAGTCTGGCGCCGGGCGTCCCTCGCCCAGCATGACTATCTCCCGGCCGGTGGCAGATTCCGGCATGAAGCGGCGCGGCAGCCCAGCCTGCCTCTCGCTCACGATGCGGGAAGGCGGCAACACGCTACCATCGAGCAGAGCGGAGCCCCGTGCCATGGCGCCGGACGAAGAGAAGATGGAGAGCGAGCGCGTGTGGCGAAAGAAGGGCGCAGGAAAGAAGGAGTTAGGGCGCAAGCGGCGAAGACAAGGGGAATGATGGCGAAAGGAAGGAAACAAATCCTCTCCTCAGTGCCTTTATACTCTTGCCAATGCTGTGCCCGGCTCCTCGTTTCTCGCACCCACCGTTTCGCCCCCTCGTTTCTCGCGCCCACACCTCCACTAATCCCATTCGCCCGCTTGCGGCGCGTGAGGTGGATATGCGGTTGTGGCAGTCGAGATAGATCATTTCGTGCGCGCGTTGATTACGCTCGCCGACCGAAGCGCCATCACATATCTCCTGGCAAAGCGAATCGGCTCGTCCAGATTCGTGTACTACTCGAGTAATGTGGCAGTCTGGAAGAGACCGCTCATTACTGACAGCCGAGTTACCATTGCCGATGTGCGTAGTTTGTGACCGTTGGGTTTCTGCCTAATTGTAGAGACCGGTCCCACTTGTCACCAGGCTTTAGGGGTGGCGTCACGCCCGACCGCTTCCCTTGAAAAGGGCGATCGCCCTGGCATAACGCCGGGGGCTACTGTCGGTGACATGGGACCGGGAGTATCATGACTAGAGGCTTGAGGCAGACACAATCGCCCACGTGGCCTGGCACCCTCGGGGGACGTCGGGCCCGAGGGTGATGTGTGCGCCCACCTCTTGGTCTCCCCGAGGGGGGTCGGACCACTCCTGCCTCGCCCCCGAGGGCCGAGGCGCCCCGACCCCTCGCGGGTTCTACTCCGCGTGTATGGGTTAGGTGAGCACAGCGGGGCTCACCTAACCGCATTTATTGCGGCTCGGCTAAACGTGTCACGCCGCACGAAATGCAGTGCAGTGCACTCGTTTATCCGGTCTGTGACCAGTCACAGACCGGTCAGATCGCGGGTTAGGTGGCAACAGGCGGTCTGACGCACGCTTCGCCCCATCCCGTCAAGACGAGAGCTTCTAGGCACTCGTCCCCAGCTGGAGCTAGCGTGTTACCTCCCAGAGATGGCACGTTAGCCCCGGTCGGATATATGCCAGGCTTCATCCTAACCATTACAAGCAAGATGTTGTGTGAAGAAGGGCAAACATGCACGTTGCTAAGCTGACGCGTGGTGGACAAGAATGACCGATTTGTGACCGGTCTGACACTGATCATGCCGTCAGCAGACAGCCACGTTCCCACGACGCGCCTGCCTCCGGCAGAAGTGGAGGTAGGTATGTGCCGTCCCGTCAGAAGGATGTTCGGAGGGCAACCGTGCAAATCTCCGTCCATTTATGAAGAGAAGAAAAGTCCAGTTTGGAAAGGGGGGGGTGCATGTGGTATCCCCTTGAAATATAAAAGGAGGACCTTGCCCATTGAGAAGAGGGGATTTTTCTCCAGATTCGGAACCTAGAACAAGGGAGAGGTTGGCTCACACTTTGTAGCTCCTTCATACACAGATCCACCAAAACACAGGAGTAGGGTATTACGCTTCTCAGCGGCCCGAACCTGTATACATCGCCTGTGCCTCATGCTCTTTCGATAGGTCGCGATCTTTCCACATACAGAGAGAGCTTGGGATTTCACCCTGAGCCCCCGGCCGAACCGGCAAAGGGGGGGCCTGTGCGGTCTCCCGGTGAGGAGCCCCACGCTCCGTCAAATATTTTTATATAAATATACACTATACTATTAGTACTTGGCGCATCTCTCATACACATATAATATCTTATAGCTCGTGTTAAAGTTGGCTACAAATATATAACCCGTTTTTTTCTCCCTCCTCTCCTCTACGTATGTCTGTAGCTAGCTAGCTTAGCTACCTTATAACTTGCTATTGTACCTGCTCTAACTATATATATAGTCCCAACCCACCACATAAGAGCAAGTTTAATAGTATAGTTAACCACTAGCTTCAAATTATCTATAATCAATTTAATAGCCAATTCATACAATAGTTATATACTCTATTAATACCTGATCCCACTTATCATACACACACTGCGTCTTGGAGTCCGTGCTACAGTTGGCTACAAATTTGTAGCCCGCTGCTCTTCTCTTTTTTTTTATCTTCTTAAAATATATTTATAGCTAGCTTATAGCTTACTATTGTATTTGCTCTAAGCTGGTGTCTATGGAATTTATTAGGATGCCACCTAATAAAAATTTGATGTGACATGGTAATTAAAGAAGGAAGAGAAGGAAAAAGAGAAAATGATGTGGCAAGCACCAAACCGGATCGCCGTGTGCATCAAGGCCCTGGAAAGTAGCAAAATCAGCGTTGGGGTTGATTAATTGTTTCTTCCCCGACACATCTATCTATCTATTATATTATTAAGACAGCTCGAAAAAAAGACACCACGTTCACTGTGGAGGCTAGAAATTCCCATATTAATGGAAGAAAAAGAAAAAAAGAGTTCAAGTAGAAATACAATCTAAAAAATAACTGAAATTCGGAATTAAAAATAAGTAATATTTAAAGAGGAGTCCATATAAGAACCTAATACGTGATTAATTAAAATTCAGAATAATAAATAAATAAATTTCTGAAATTAAAAAAAAGAAAAAAAAGAGAGTTCAAGTAGAAATACAAATTTGAAATTATTAAAAGAATAATGGTCTAGATTTACTGTATAAAAGATAATCATATCAATCTAATTATAGATCATACAATCCGTACTAGGAGTCCTTGTCCATTTAGAAAAATCAATTGCAAAACTATACAGTATATAGAGTTATGATTCTAAACCAACATACATTGCCGCACATATATATATATAGGGTGGAGATACCAGACCAGCACGTTAGGCTGCAGCAGCAGAAAAATAATATAGTGCCCTCATTTCATACAAGTCTACGAACCCAATACGAGATTAATTAAAATTTGAAATGAAAAACAAAATAAAATCCGAAATTAGAAATAAGAAAATAAAAGAAGAGTTCAACTTGGAATGCGATTTAAAAATAACTGAAATTCGTAATAAAAAATAAAGACTATTTAAAGAATACACCATCTAGAACACATAACGAAATTAATTAAAATTCCGAATAATTAATAAAATAAATTCTGAAAATAGAATAAAACAACTAGGAATATAATTTATAAATAAAATCTATCGGAACGAAAAATATGGAAATTTCAAAAAAAAAACATCTAGAACACAACGATGATAAATGACAATAAATATCGGAGAAGCAACGAGGCAGGGAGTAGAGTGGTGACAGCTGATGGGATATCTAAAAAACTATTAACAAAACCCCAAATAGAATCTCAATGACAATTAAAAAGAGTGATGACGGACAGGCCGTTAAGCAGCACGGTCACGACGGTTAGCGGGATTTCTAAAAAAGTAAAAAAATAAACCTCAATGATAATCATGTTCGATTTTAAAATTTCAAATATAATAAAGAGTGGGAGGAAGCGGGCGAGCCATAGAGTAGTACAGTGGCAAAGCCACTAACGGTTTGGTGGGACTCTAGAAAGTAAAAAATTAAACTCAAACGATGATTATATTTGATTTTTAAAATCCCAATGACAATAAAGAGAGGAAGCAACTGTAGCACCCGTATTTTATTTGCTTTTATTTTAAAAAAAAAGCTTGTCATTTAAAAATTGGAGTTAATTTGGTTCTTAGATGATTTTGTGCCAAATGGATCTCAAATCCTCTCTTAGAATTGCCTTTCAAATTCCTGTGAAACTCTAGGTCAAATTCAAATTCAAATCCCTTCAAATTCTCCTCAAAATTCAACTCTATAAATCCCTGGGAAAATGTGAAATATCACTGTTCATATTGGGCCTCCTTCCCTTCCCTCTCTCTCGGCCCAACTCTCCTCCACCTCTCCTCTCTTCTTTCCCCTGAGCAGGCCGGCCCAGCGCAGCCCATTTCTGCTCATCGTCCCCTTCCTTGAGCCAGCCAGTGCATGCACACAAGGTGTTCGACGAAATACCGACCCGAGTCGCTGCACCGTTCCGCCCTCGTTCCCGTACCGCGTTGCACCATACCACCCTCCCGTGCGCCCCACAACGTGCCAGGGCCACGTAGCGCCGCCCCGCACGCCGCGCCAAAGCCGCATCGCGCCAAACTCCACGAAAACCGCCGCGCCCTCTCCGGGAGACACGGAGCCACGTCGCCCCGCGTCACCCCCGTCTCGTCGCCGTTCCATCCCGAGCTCTCGCGGACGCGCGTCCCTTCGCTGTCGCCCGTCGTCTTGTCGTCTGTCTCCTCCCGGGAAGCCGCCGAGCTCGCGCCTCCCTCTCACTCGCGTTCCATCGCCACCACCGTGTGACGTCGCTCGCGTCGCATCGATCTGAGAACCCTACCACCCAAATCCCGGCCGTAGCCGCCGTCGGCCGCGCGTCATCGATGTCCCGTCGCCTTTCCCGCTCTCCGCGCGTCACTTCGTGTCGCGTCGCCGTCGTTTTCACCGTCGAGTCACCACCGGTGCATGACGCCAAGCCATCGCGTCGCCATCTCGTCCACCCCGGAATCCCGCCCTAGCCGCTAGCCAGCTACCCCCGGAGCTCCGCGTCTAGACCGCCAGCTCGCCACCGCGCCGCTTGCCTATAAAAGGGGAAGCAGCCCGAGCTCCTTCTCCCCACACCATCACCATCTCTCCCCATCTCTCTCTCCTCTCTCTTTCTCTCGTTTTGCTCTCTGTTGCTGCCAGCCAGAGCCGCCGCGCTATTCTCCCGGCGCCGCCGTCGCCGGTGGAGCCTCGCCGGAGTTCTCCGCCGCCCTCCCTCAGCCGCCGGTCGCCTCGCCGCGCCCCATCGCCGAGACGCATCGCTATCCCAGACCGAGCCGAGCAAAAGAGCGAGAGGAGGAAGAAGCAGGCCTCCTCAAGCCTCTGCCAAGCCGGCCCCACCTTCCTTTATTCCTTCCTGCCACTGACGAGCAGGGCCCGTGTGCCTTTTCCTCTCTAGCAGCCACCGACAGGTGGGCCCCTCCCTTTTCCTTTTTTTAAGTCAATTTCCAACATTCCAGAAAATCCTTTATTCTTTGAAAATTCATAGTAAATCAACCGTAACTCCGATTGACCCCGTTCAAGTTCCTAAATTTTTTATAAAATTGAGATCTACACAGTGGCACCATTGTTTCTCTGATTTGAGCTAGTTTTATTGCCTTTTCTTAGTTAGTTTTATTTTTCGCGTTTAGAGCCCGAGTTCGAGGAAGCTCCGGACGCCGCTTTCGAAGGAGAAGACCCCAACGCTGTGCAAGGCAAGCCCCTTTGATCACATTGCCCCTATATTTTCAATGATATGTTGTTTGCAAAGATGCATTGTTAGTTCACACGATTAACATGTTTAGGCCTCGGATTGTTTATACAACCGACGGACCAACCCAGTAGTCGCACTTATATTACATAGGTTGATGTTTCCATACCATTGATAGCTCCACAAATATTTGCGCCGGTATCATTATTCGATTACCGAGGTAGTTTCGCTTAGCCATGCTTACGTTGTTGCCGTGTGGGAAACTTGGGTTATTCCAAATCCATGTTTAAAAAAAATCCGGTATGTTGTACCGAGGAATTGTGAAATAAAATGTGTTGTGAAAGTGGTGATGATGCGGAGTCATGCCTTTGTGGTTTGGCTACGTATTGTCGTTAAGGACCGATTCCTTTGGGAAATCCATCCAAACACGTTACAGTGCGACCACACGGGTATTTATGGGATGCCTCTGGCTAAGTAAATTGTTTTCACATGGGAGTTGGTGTGCCGATGGTTGTGGAATGCCGAGGATGAGGAGACGAAGTGTTACACATTTTTGCCCATCATGGGTGTCTTTTGCCTCTATTGTGGCGTGGTACCGGTAGGAGTAGGAGGCATCCTCGGTATTTCCTGAGTGGATGACGGCTGTCATTGCCTGATACTTGGCTATGGATCTTAGCCCAACTAGGTGGCATGCGGTTTTCATGGGTTAGCTTTGGAAAGGCCTTATCACGAACTTTCATTGCCGACGGGTAAACGATGTCAGTTTCGTGTCGTGTGGGTAAAGCGTGCAACCTCTGCAGAGATTAATGAACTGTTCGAACAGCCGTGCCCACGGTCAAGGGCGAGTGTAAGGTGTTTCTCATAGCGTAGATTTGTTTGACAAATGTTTGTGAAGAAGTGGTTACAGGGAAGGGTAACGTTACCAGAGTCCGCCTGTGTGGCAGACGGCTAACCTGGGTGGTTAGGAACGGGTCTGTGTGACCTGGGGTGTCGTCTGACACCGAGGTGTTGTTAGGGCCATGAAGATGGCGTTGTTGTGCTGAGATAACTGTGTGGACTATGTGTTGTTGTGAGAAGAAACTAATAGAGGAACAAATTAATTTGCTGTTCGTTAATCGTGACAAGTTGTTGCAAAGCAACTTGTGGAATGGGTCGAGGCGTGAGCCTCCTCCCGACAACTAAAACTTGACTCACTCACTAGGAGTTTTGTGAAATAAATCACTTTGCCAAAAAGGCAGCTTTCGCAAATAAAACCTTAGCCTCCTTGTTTAAACCAAACATGTCATTCTTTCCCCTGGCTTGCTGAGTACGTTAAGTACTCACCCTTGCCCCTTATAATATTATATAGAGTATGGAGATGAAGACATCGACCCGACCGCCGAGGAGTATCTCCAGGAGCAAGCCGAGTATGAAGACTTCTAGATGTTTCGTGCCTAGCCCCAAGCCTCGCCTGTGGAATAAGATAGATGCCTAGGTTATTCGCCTAGTGCATAGTTGCTTAGTCGCTTAGTGCTCCGCGCTGTTCGCTTCTGCGCCGTTGCTTTTATGGTTTTCTGTAATGTTGTGTTGCTCATCTATGGGCCTGTCCATGATAGCAACTTATGTAAGGACTACTACCCAGTGATGTAATAAAGCAGTTTACTTTGATTCCACATTTATTCTGTGTGTACCAGCTAGTTGTAACATCCTGAAAATTCCCAACAATAAAAATCACTAAAATTTCGAACTTTTTAAAACTTTTTGCATCATGCTGGATGTTATGGTTGCTTTTACTTGCCAAACTATAAATTGTCACAATGGAAAATTAAACTAAAGTTATACAGCTAAGTAATAATTATAATAATAAGATATTTATTATGAACCCCATAAATATTTACGCACGAGAAAACGAAGCCAGACAAAGGGAAGGTTAATTACCAATTTAATTTATGGATCAAATATTAAATACTTGAACCATGTGATGCGTGCCATGAAATATAAACACTTAGGAAATGATAATCATTCAAATAAATGGAACTCTATCTATAGAATAGTTTTACTGGGAAAAATTAATTAGATATTATATAATTTGAATTGAATCACAAATGCTAAATTATAGAAATCCATGTGGTGGTAAAACCAATCCAAAAAGATAAACCAATATATGTGAAAACATATAAATACCAAAATCCCAAACATAGGAAATTATAAAAATCTAGGATATATATTAAATATTGGACAATATTAAATTTTGGGGAAATTCACATTTGAGCACTTAATATGGTCACTCAACTGCTTAGTAGTAAAATACAAATTTAATTTGCAACTTTTCTCAATTTATAAATAAACCAAAACCTTAAAAATAGGAATACTTAGAAAAATATATAATAAAAATAAAAATATGTTCAATATTAAATTTGAATACAAATTTCGATGGATTAATTTAGGCTTGGTGTATTGTGACAAAATTAGGGGCAATAGTATATTTTTCCTAATTGCAAAATACCCTATAAAATCAAAAATAGTTGGCTAGCATTGTTCATTAGCCCTCTAGGTGTTTGATTTGGTTCCCTAACCACCACCCCTCCTCTGCCGCGCTCCCCCTCAATTCTCGCGCCGCCCCTACGTGCGCCGCGACGCTGCCGCCCTCTGCTGCGCCGCTGCCTTGCGCCCCGCGCCGCCGCGCGCCGTCTTGTCACCGCCGTCGCCGTCGCGCCATCGCCGTCGCGTCTTGTCGCCGCCGCCGCACCGCGCGTCCCCATTGCCGCTGCCGCGCCGCGCCGCCGTCGCGTCGCCTCGCGCCTCGCGCCCGCACGCCGCTCGCCCGTCCCGTCAACCGCGACGCGAGCCTGCCGTCTCGCGCCCCGCGCCGCTGCTGTGCGCCGTCGCCGTCGCATCCCGTCGCCGCTGCCGCGCCGCGCGCTGTCGCCGTCGCGTAGCCATCGCAGCGCGCCGCGAGCCGTCGCCCTCGCGCTGCCGCGCCTTCGAAGCCCCGAGCCCCGTGCTGCCGCGCGCCGTCCCATCGCCGTCGCATCACCGCCCACATCACCGTCGCCGTCGTCGGTCGCATCGTCTCGAGCCCCTCCCCTCCGCGCGCGCCGCTCGTCCGTCGCTCCGCCGCCTCGCGCCCCGCGCCGCGTAATCATCGCATCGCCGACGTGCCGCCATCGCCGCGCGCCAAGCCCCGTGCCGCGCCGCGCCGTCCCATCGCCGCGTCGCCGTCCCGTCGACGCTCCGCCGTCGCCGTCGCGTCGCCCGTCGCCATCACCGCCCGCCGAGCCCCGAGCCGTCCCGAGCCGCGCGCCCGCCGCCTCGCGCCCCACGCTCCGCGCGCCGTCGCATCGCCATTAAGCCGCCGCCCCTTCCCCTCTCCTTCTCCCTCTCTTCCCTATAAATACCCCACCCCCTCCCCACTTTCCCCCACTCCATTTCCCTCCTCCTCCCCTCTTCCCTCTCAACCGCGCCGCCGCTCTCGTGCCACTGCGCCGCCGCCCTCGTGCCGCCGCGCTGCCGCCCTGGTGCCGCCGCACCGCGCCGTGTGCCGTGCCGAGCGTCGCCTCGCCTTGCGCCGCTGTCGCCGCCGCCGCCGTCGGTAAGCCGCCGCCCCTTCCCTCGTTCCGCCGCCGTCGCCGCCCCGGGTAACTTGAGTCGAGAGAGAGAGGAAGGGAGAAGCCGGGAGGGAGAAGGAAAAAGAAAAGAAAGAAAGAGGAAAGAAAAAGAGAAGGAAAAGGAAGAAAAGAAAAGAGAAAAGAAAAAAAAGAAGAGAGAGAGAAAGGAAAAGAAAAGAGAGAGAGAGGAAGGAGAAGAGAGGGTAGAGTGGGCCCCACCTGTCAGTCACTATAGCTGTGGATAAGGTTGTATTATAAATAAATGAATTAGGGACAGTACCATTTCGCAATTATTAGAATTAATTCAAATTTGAATCTTTACGCTAGCATAACTTATTCATTTCAGCTCCGATTTGAGTGAAACTTGAACCTAAATTCATCTAATTTCATAAGCTTTCCAATGATATATAATTCACTATTGGATAAAATATATTTATAAAAATTAAATAATTAATATCAAGATGATGCATAATAGTCAACTTAAAAATATGCTAATAAATAAAATTAGTATTGTACAGCAGAATAATTATCTTTAATATGTTCTGTCACTGTAGCAACCACATAAATTAAGTATAATCGATGTTTGAAGTTAATGGATATATAGGAAAATATTAGTGCCATTTATTAATCTATGTCCAAATATAATTAAAACCCACGACTTATTAGTTATTTAAATAGAGTTAGCCTTATAATTATTAGGTAAGTAAAATATAGATACACATAGATCGGTCCTAAGCTTGTTTATGGCAAATAATAACAGAGCTAGTGTGATTAAATCACCTATATGAAATTAATCAACGACATATCCCATATAATAGCATATAGTGGGAGAGGTGAGCAACCCTTAGTTAACCAAGCAGTAAATAGAAATTATTCAAATAAATGATTCAATATACTAAGATATTGTGCACACATATATTGTACATCCCATTATAGATATATGGTATCGTATTAATTTGCTTGTTGCGTATATTAATTTAGAGGGAGTATATGACAAACATGAATATTAGATAAATACTAGTTATACATCTTGTCCTCGTATAATTACAGATCAACTGTAAATTTGGATTATTCATTGTAAAATTATGTGATGGGATAATCCGTAACCATAATATGATTAACCTAAACAATTCTAACATACAAAGCATGGGTAATTGTTAACCTTTTATAATTTATTTTGACAAGTGAAATATGTACATAATTAAAATAAAGCCTCCATTAATAAAATAATAATACAAATGATTCACAGTAATTATTTGACCGATCCAAAATCCATCCGGCAACAGAACCTCTAGTGTATAACCGTGCTATGTAGATAAATGCATGCCTAGCCATAATCCTTCCATAGCCATTTGATAGACTAAACCACCGATTAGCCAAATATATATGTATCCTATAAATGCTATGTTGGTTAACTCCTAAATAGGCCACGTTGACAATAGAAAGATTAAGAAACCTTAGCCCCTAGCGAGATTGGAATCCATTAGCAGACATGAGTAGTATATTTTGTTGTGCATATTTGGTTGTTATTTGAATATTGGTTTTTCTTGCGTATTATAGAATTTATGTATCGGTTAGTCGTGAGGCAACGTCAACAACTTCCAGGAGGTGAAGGTTAATCAAGAATTACATCAAGAATAAGGACTATCCTGAGCAAGGCAAGTCATCACTATTCTTTGAACATGTTGATCCCAATTGCGAAATTGTTTTGTTTACAAATAAAATTGCATGCAATTATGAACATCCTACTTGTGATTATACCATGCCTTGATTATTGTTCACCTTTAAATCTTTGTAACCATAGATACGTACGAGTCTCTAGTCAACTATGACACTTGCTTAGAAATGCTATTTTAGATTCATGCATACTCATATTTATCAAATGCTATATGCTTGGGCAATTACCTTTGGGAAGGTAATTGAGATGCGGCATGTGGAGACATGAGCGCCACATTGCCATGATATTGATGACATGATTTGTGAAAGGAAAATAAAGTAAAACAACTGTTTTCGACTGGGGCGGCTGGAGGACTTGGGTGGTGTCCGGAAAAGGCTAGTGCCGTCCCTGGTCAATTAAGGACCGAGCCATGAAGTTAAGCATGAAACGACCCCCGTACAACCGCACTTCTCGTATGGGTATAGACCTAGCGGAGTAGATAGCTGAGCGGAGGCAGTATCCATGCATAGTGGTTTCTTGATGTGTGAGGCAGGGGCTCTACGGTGGGGCAGCCATTGGTAGGACCGCGAGGCGGGTGTCTACAGTGGTGTCGCCATCGGTAGGACTGCCATGTGAGAATCTAAAACATAATTATAACTTAATGCATGTGTGAGTCTTCCCTTCCCGGGTGCGCCAGAACTCCTCTCACTGCTAGAAACCGTGTACGCCTAGAGTGCATGAGGATGAAAAGTTCATGGAGCGGGTACTGCCAATGCGAGGTTATCGAAAAGCTTTGCCGTGACGCGTCTCATGTGTTGGGACGAGGCTCATGTGTTGGGCAGTCGCGGAGTGCGGGTAAAGTGTACATCCACTGCAGTGTGAGTAAACCAAATCTATTCGAATAGCCGTGCTCGCGGTTATTGAGCACCGGGACATGTATTACACTTGGCTAGACTCTAAATTCTTAACTTGTGTGGGATGGGATATTGCATGATGAATTTTATGCTGATGGAGCCACATCCCGAGAGGAGGGAAGGTGGACATCCTCAGAAAACCATGACGATTCAATGGCGGGAAGCTATCCTTGGGATCACAATGGATGGTGGACAGAACCGTCGTTGTTTAAAGTGAACACTGGTACTAAAATTTGATCAGTCTATGCTAGGTTTTAGGCTTGTGAAAAGAATTGTAAAATTAGCTTTATGCAAAAGAACCTGAAGCCATTCCTTGAAATACCCGCTATCATATGCATTGTTGTTGTGGTGGCTTGCTGAGTACGGTTAGTACTCACCCTTGCTATTTATATATCTTTTAGGAGAGTGTTGAAGAGAAGCCCTTGTCGGTACGCTTGCGTATCCCACAAGATGATCGGAGTGCGGTCTTGTTCTAGGTCTCGTTCCCCAGTCGACT